TATTACTAAGATGGGGGAGGGCAAATTAAGAGATACAGGCATCCAAAAATAATTAGAAAATATTTTTTCAATGTCGTGCGTGCCGATTTACTTTTCTCCTGCTTTCGAAGGAAACCTGCACTTGTCGCGACGACACTAACTCAAAAAAAGCAGATTTGCAACCTACCTTATTTCATTCGCGAAGGTGCATCTACATCTCAGATAATCTTTTATTTCTGCTATTCAACTGCTCAAAATCAGCACCATAAAAACTTTAAGGTCTCATAGCTTAAAATTTGGAAATTACATTATACTAACTAACAATGCTCTTTATACTGTTCCTCCTCCTTAATGGATAGGGTTAGCCAAGAGAACATTAAAACTTGATTTTAGGCGTAAATAACGCTGAATGTCGAGCAGAAAACTTCTAGGTAGGCTGATAGCTACATCTCCTTTCAGGAAGCGTCGGAACTACGAAAAAACATAGTCGCGCCTTTGAATTGTAACTGTCTACCATTATCCAATGTACTGTCCAGCAATTGCAGTAGTTTGTTTAGTGTATGCGAGATGTAAAAAAAGTTTGCTTCGAATGTCATTTTACCGTAACTGAATATACATATTAGTACTGGAGGCGAAACTCTCTTGACGAAAGGCCATGTGGCTAGTTCGTTCGATGATAATAAAAAAGTGATAGAAATGAAGAAAAAAAGATTTCTGCCTGTTTTGATATAATCTTGAGAGCCACTAGCAATCTCAGCTGTACCAAAGATACTGTAACATATGCAATACAAAAATGTTTTGGAGATACACATCCAAATTCCTCCTCTATATTTCACTTGATTTTTTAAAGAACTTCTCGTTATCCTGAATATATTTGATCACTTAACCTTGTTGAAATTATAGTTTATTTATTTTATTCAAAGCGCAAAAAGAAGGGTGTGATTTGAAAGTATAAAAGCACAGAAACCATAAGAACCCAAAGAAGATACTATGAGATAGGTATAAAAATTCAACAGTTGTTCAGTTGTGCATCTTTGATGTGTTCGGATTTCAAAAAAACTCTATAATTTGATTAATGATTTTCAAATTGAGATATTGAATATTCGACAAAAATTAGTATTCTGCTCCTCTAATTTGTTAGCAAGATTCCGAATGTTGAGGCTTTTTATTCAATCCATAAAGAGTGGTTAAAAACTCTCTTGATTTTTCGCGCTGCATGCGGAATTTTCGTTTTTAGTTTTGAGATCTCTTTCAAATTCTAAATCGGTTATTACATTTGTAAATCAGGTTTTTTAGAGAAAAAAAAGATGATTGTTTGGATTGCTGGTTTTTACAATCCGTTTCATAGTTTTACATAAATACATACTAATTTAAATTTTGTATTAGCCCTAGATGTCATTATTTTCTATATAAACATAAATGTCACATATTCATAATGTTTTGAATACATAGTAATTAATATGAAGTAAATATTATATATTCATAACGTCACGCCAACATTTCTATACAAAGTCCTTTCAAAATCATGAGAAATTGCTTTAAAAACTCATATAAAATCTTCCAACATTATTCAGATTATAAAATTACTACATTGTTAGATTATACATTTTCATTTTCATTACACCACACGAAGCCTTCTTTTTTGTTTGATTTTTCCCAAAACATGTAGAACTGTGAATCATGTATGGTCATAGGTCATCTATTAGAGAATTTTCCTCATTGAATCTTCTTTCCTAGGACTACTAAAACCGTGTGTAAGAACGACAAG